ATGGTTTTATTCTGAGCTTTCGGCTCCACACGAGAAGCCATCGTCGGAGTAAATGAGAACAGCAAGCGTCAGGGACGCGCGTCGGACACACGATAAGATAGCGTGAGAATGGACGTGGCGTGGACAGGGACCAATCGATAATTGCCACCACCCCCTCTCCCCTACCAACCCCATTTGTGCGTAGCTGAACGTTTGCTGTTCTCATTTACTCTGACGATGGCTTCTCGTGTGGAGCCGAAATCTCAGAATAAATCTATCGTTCCAAAGATCGCGTCTTCCTCTTCTTTACGACAAGAACCTGGGGCACGCATATTCGCTTCTATTCATAATCAAAATAGTCGCACCTTCAGCCTAGCCTTAGTCATAAACACAAGCATTTTTATCTAAAGCCCTTAGCATTCCCTAAAGATTCTCCGCTGAAAGTTAAGCTGTGTTCTCGTTCTCGTTTCCGTTTTCGTTGTTGTTTTTTCTCTTTCGTTTTCCTTTCTTTCTTTTCCTCCGCCTTTTCTTTCTTTTCTTCAGCCCCCTGCACAACCTCCTCACCTCCGGTTTGTTTTCATTCTTAGCACTGCCAACCGACGCATTACCAGACACACCGCCATCTCAGCGTGTCGTGTTTGTAAAGTGACTGATGTGTAACACTGGAATTCAAGGGGCGCCGGCACCTTCTACTCACCTGGTTATGTGTATCCTAGTGCGTGTCAAGGGGCCAGGTCGAGTTGTGGCGCGCGCAGACGGGTCCGTCGGCACTGTCAGCCAAGGTGCCTATCCCACCTCAGGCGACCGATCAGCTAGGCAGTGACCTGTTGCTGACGTTGGGAGGAGAGAATGATGTCGACCTTCAGCGCAGCTCTTTCCTCACTATAAAAAATCTGATGCGCTTGAAGCTATTGCGGTGCCCTAAAAGCTGTGGCTTGGATGGCCGCCAACTGATGGGATAACTTGTACACCGCAGTCAGCCCAGTGTGTCTCGTTGTGTGGAGTGGCTTACTGTGGGCGGAGAGTCAGGCTGCAATGACTCCTTCTTAATGTGGCCTTAAGGGCGTCCCCACGCGGGAGCCTACCTAGCAAGATGGTGATTGTTTTGGTGCGTGCTGGAGTGTGTTACGCGCACACTGCCTGCGCCCTCCCTGGTCTTCTTGACTCTTTTCCTTACATCGAGTTCATGTGTGGGAGTGGTCAGAAAGTGGAGTAGATCTGGTGAGTCTGTCTGCTTTCAGCTTTCTGAAGCTCGTGGTGGACATCGTCGAGCGCGACGGTTGAACTGTGGTGTGTGTTGAGGCCCCTAACCTTGCTGTGTGGTAGATGCGCTGGCCCAACACGAAGCTAGATCAGGGAATGGCTGGTGTTATTCTGTTTGCGTTCCCATAACAACCGTCGAACATGAGGGGGGGCGTACATGAGACGCACATGTGCAGACTCGAGCGTCAGCCACCCGTGGCCTTCTTGGCACACTAACTTCGGGGGATTTTGATCAGGTATTACGGTTCCGGCCACCTCCGGTCTTCTTGACTCTGTGTTGACAATGAGCACGGGAGGGTGAGAGAGGAAAAAGTGTGGTAAATGCAACACAGTTTGACTATCACGTGCAACTAATTCACGCGTAAGTCATCGTCCCTTCACTTTCATGCAGGGAAACGCACGAAAGAGATCGTCGGAATCTATGGTCAAACTGTTGCGTTGTATATGCCATGCCAGCGTATCCGCAATGTCAAGAGAATTTTCAGACAAGAATATACTTCATTGGACATCAACGAACCCAGTAGAATTTCAACCCGATTAGCCCGCTTCTCATTTCCCATAACTTCATCGTAAAGTAGTTAGGACAATATCAAACCCTGCCCATCAACACCATCATCAGCTATTCCAACAGCCAAGTAGATTCCTTTTCAACCTCTCTATGCCGTCACCATGCATTTCAAGCCGGCATCGGTACGGTCATTCCCTTGCGAATCAGCTACATTGTGAGCAGCAAGCCATTGCCGCGCACCCCACCAGATAGACTATACTCCCGTCTTCCTGCCTAGATTATTCGGGCCTGTCGTGAACATATTTAGCCAAATGCGTAAATCCAAAAAGAATCACTGAAACAGCACAATCCACGCCACCCTACCTGCAAGCACATATACACACACCTAAAGTTGCACACAAACACTCTTTACAACACTCGTATGCGCGAAACCTTTCCTTATTACACGATGGAGCACTTCTGCAGCAAGCATGCGGTCCATTTGCTATTGCTGGTACAGCGGGCGAAAAGTCACATACTAGATCATGCAAAGTTCCTTTAATCTGTAACACTGTATACTAGGACACTGGCGCGGTATAAATAGTTGCGTAAAGGGTTGCCAATTGATGAAATTACCCGGCCATTCTCAGAACTTATGGTCAGACTGCAATAACTCCTTAATGTGGTTGCTATGCCCCCTCACTCAGATGAGATTCAAGCCGCTGATAGAAGCGAATATGCGAGCTCCAAGAAACAGTTCAGAAGAAGAAGATGCGATCACTGGAATAAGAATTTTATTTTCCTGACGTTTCAGATTCTGACGAGAATATTTATCATAAGTAACCGTAAACTGGTGTGAGACATACACAGATTTGGGTGATATATACAGATTGCGTTATATTTATAGTTCAAAGTGGCCAGCCGCATGCGTACTATAATTATCAGCTCCTTTAACCACAGCTTAGGGTCTTAATTGGTGCGGTGATGGCTTGAGACTTCGCTTAAGAGCACTTAATCGCCGCTATTTCCTTGTCCGTATCGGATGTGGGCTTGATAATTGCGAAACAAGGATGTCCGCTATCATCAGATTTGTTGTTGGGTCCGACCCTTCTCACGTGACTGATTCTCTTGCTCAGGAAGTCTCAGTACGCAGTATGAGAACGACAT